CCCCCCCCCCCCCGCCCAACCACCCCGACCTCGGGCATCTCAGCCCACACACCCGGCCAGGGAAGAACCGGCTATTCTTGAACTTGCGCAGGAAGAAAGCGATAAAGAAGGTGCCAGCCATGAGCACCAGTGACAGCAGGGCAGTGTTGGGCTGGCCCCGGGGCCTCCCCTGCCCAGCTGGCCCCGGGGAGCTCCCATTCCCCGGCCCCAGCGTGGATCCTGCCCCATGCCATGTGCTGTTCTCGCCGCTGTCCGCCTCAGAGCTGTTGGAGACCGAACAGCCGTGGAGCGGATGTTCCTGGAAGATCTAGAGAGAGGACAAAGGACTCCATCAGCCAAAGTGGAGAGCTGTATGCCGAGTGGGGCAGGCAGGGGAGAAGATGACAGGTCTGGCCTTAAGGAGCTTGTTTTTTTGTTGTCTTAATTTTATTTATTTATTTGACACACACAGAGAGAGAGAGAGCACAAGGAGAGGGAGGGGTAGAGGGAGAGGAAGAAGCAGACTCCCCTCGGAGCAGGGAATCTGACGCGGGGGCTCGATCCCAGGACCCTGAGATCAGGATCTGAGCCGAAGGGGGACATGTCACTGACTGAGCCACCCAGGTGCCCTGGGGCTTGTCTTGTTGATCAAGAAAATGACTGGTGACCAGATGAGAGCAAGGGAAACGGGATTCAGGCAGCTGGGGGCATGGCTGCAGCCAGGCCTGGACCAAGGGGGTGTGTCCTCTCCTAAGCCTGCCAGGGGCACAGCTCTGAGGACCAGACTGTGACTATGTGTCATCTCGGTGGCCTTTCTCTTTGATACTTCTAGACTGTCTGCCACCTTAACAAAAGGACGTGTTACCTTTGTTATTAAAAATATGTGAGTTTCTAAGACTGACCTGAAGTCCCGGGACGTGTGTTGGTGACAGGGAGGGTGGAGGGGGGCCGGGAGGAAGAGCCAGCCCGTGCTCTGTGGGCTCCTTGGACCACAGCCCAGGGCAGCTCTGGGCTAGCCTGGGCCCTCCTACCCCGAAGTGAGAGTGCGGGAGGAGCAGAAGGCTCGCTCCGGTCCCGAGGTCTCCCCCCTCCTGACCCCAGCTCGCAGCAGGGCCTGCTCACCTTAACCAGCTTGTAGAATGTCTCATAGATGAAGATGAGGGAGATGAGGAATGCAAAGATCTCCTGGGTGAAACGGGAGACAAAGCGCACCAGGAAGCTCCCCTCCAGGGCCACCATGAGCAGGGCCAGGAGCACCAGCCAGAAGCCGATCCACACGCGGCCCACCAGGTACTCTAGGTTGTTGCTGCTGCAGAACTGGGGGGGCGTCCAGTCAGGTTCCAGAGCCCGGGGGCTAGCAAAGTGGGCGTGTTTGGGGAACAGGAGGGGCAGCTGGAGCAGGGCAGGAAGAGCCAGCCCCCTACTAGCCTGTGGGCCCTTACCGAGAAGAAGGCCTCCTCAAAGACCAGCAGGGGCCCGGAGAAGCCGATCACCAGCAGCGGCTGGGCCCCCAGCAGGCAGAAGACCACACCCTGGAGCGCCGTGGACATGATCAGCTCCGACACCCCAATCAGGTCCTGAGTCTTCTCTCCTGGGGTGGCAGGAAGCGGCTCAGGAGCTGGCAGCCAGGGCCCTGGGCATGCCCTGCCCACCCCACGCCCGCCCCCCAAAGCTGCTCCTTACCCAGCAGTCCCCCGAAGGTGATGGCCGGAGACAGGGCGGCGAAGTAGATGAAGATGACTGCAGCCAGGCACTGGGGGTCGAGTGCGTCTCGGAAGTCACTCAGGTAGTGGGGGTAGCGGCGCCGCACATCTCGGATCAGGCCCCCAAAGGGCCGGCCCGTCCGTCGGAGGGGATCGTCTTCGACTGCACCTGCCACCTCTACCATCTGCAGGAGCGCTGCAACCCGGGCCTCCGTCAGGGCGCCCGCTGCGGCCCCTCTGCGCTGGGCCCCCTCCTCCACGTTCACGCAGACCACCCCGACCCGAGCCCCAGAGCTCCCGCAGGGTGCGCGTGTGCGCGGTCCCTGCCCCGGGCCCATACTGGCCCGTACCCTTCTCTTGTGCTGACTTGGGCTCCAGCCCAGCCCCAGGGGGCAACAGGCGGCCCTGCTCCTCCCGTTTCTTGAGCATCTGGCGTTGGAAGTGAGCAACGGAGCGCAGCAGTTCCTCGCCCTGCACTTCCGAGGGCGGCAGCACCACGCTGCAGTCCAGGAAGGCGTTGATGGCGGTCAGCAGGTCCTCCCGCTCGTCGGCCAGGTAGGCTGCCTCGTGGAATTGCTGCCAAAGCAGGCCCAGGGCTGGTGAGGGTGCGGCGCGAGGGCCGGGGGAGAGCATGGGGCGGGGGGCGGGCGTCCCGCGGGCACTGGGAGGGCCTGACCTTGTCAGACATGAGGGTGGAGATGGAGCGGCCGATCTCGTGGTAGTCCATGTTGGCGCTGCTCGGGCCCAGAAGCAGGAAGAGGAAGCGCACGGGCACGGGCACCTCCAGCACCGCGTCCAGCTCCACCGCCTCTCGGAGCCGTACAAAGGCCATGGTGGGGCGGGACAGGAACTCCACGCAGCCTAGGGGCAGGGTGACATCATGGGCTAAGGGAGGGCGCAGGCCGCCCCTCAGCCCCCGGGTGGCATCCAGGCAGGCCTGGCCATCGCCACCCCCCGCCCCCACTGCAAGACTTGCCCACATACCCACAAGGACCACTGTGGCCTCGGCGTTCTCAGGGATCTTCTCTAGGAGCTTCAGTTCGTGCTTGGACTTGGAGCGAGTGATGCCGGCTGCTGGGGCTGGAGGTGGCAGTTCTCGCTGGGGATGCAGAACGGAGCTCAGCCTGGCCGAGGAACCCCCCCCCCACCCCCCACCCCCGCATGTTCACGCCCGGCAGCCAGCGGGGGCGGCTGGGACCTGAACCAGCCAGCGCCACCCCATTCCCCTCACCTCTCGCTCCACCTCTAGCCGCGTCTCAGGAACACCTCCGATGAGAGGCTCAGTGACATGGGGATCACTCTCAGCCCCCGGGCCATGGTGATGCCCCAGCAGGGAGCCAAGGGAGCCGGCTGAGATGTTTCGAGGGAAGGAGAAGTCCTTCTCATCACTCGGGTGGCTGGAGAGGCAGAGGGCGGTGAGGGAGGGAGGGAGGGCAGCGGCCGGGGCAAGGGGCGGGCAGGCGGGGGCAGCAGGTGGGGCCTCACCTGTGTTTCAGTAGCAGGGCCCGCAGCACATTGGCTCTGTCCTCAGCCTTGATCTGATCGGAGATGACCATCTGCTCCACCACCTGGTGGGCCACCCCGGGCAGGGTCTGCTGGTCCAGGTCCAAAAGCACAGCCCCTGGAATAAGGATGGCGTGGACGGGCCCTCATCCCCAGGTAAGAAGCAAGGGCAGGGCATGGAAAGGAGAGAGAACCGGGGACGAGGGGGCGGCCAGGTAAGCACGGTCCGGGGACAGAGCACTGGCCCAGAAACCAGTGAGCAGGGCTCAAGACCCAAGCCCCATCATGTGTCTGACCCATCACGTCCGTTCCTTCTGACCCTCTCTCCCACAGGGATGTGGTGGGGCTCAGCAGAGGCCACCAAGGCAGGGCCCTCCCAGAGGAGGAGGAGCACGCAGCCTCCGCTGGGCTGCGCCAGGCTGTCCACTCAGACGGGGCCACTCTTTGCTGCTAGAGAAAGTTCCTCCTTTCAGCGAGCCACATGCTGCTTCCCCTAACATCCACTCTAGGGTCCTAGTTCTGCCCTCTGAACACGACACAGCCCATCTGTGGCCTTGAGCCATCTGAAGATGTCACCCTCCAGCCTGGGCACCTCAACTTCCCCAAGTCCAACAGCTGCTCATGGGACAGTTTCCAGATCTTTCTACTGGTCACTGCTCTGAACTACTAAATTTATACAGAAATGGAAGTCCTCTCAAAAGTGACCAGGTCATCTTTCTGTCAAGGTCAACTTGCAGGAACGCAGAACTAGACAACAAATAGAACCATTTAAACAAAAACGGAGGGGCACGTGGGTGGCCCTGTCAGTTAAGCGTCTGCCATCAGCTCAGGTCATGATCCCAGGGTCCTGGGATCGAGCTCCGCATTGGGCTCCCTGCTCAGCGGGGAGTCTGCTTCTCCCTCTGCCTCTGCCCTTCCCCCTTGCTCGTTCTCTCTCTCTCTCTCTCTCTCTCTCTCTCGTGATTTCTCTTAAATAAATAAAATCTTAAAAAAAAAAAAAAATGGGTGTGACAACTAATAGAACCAAAGGCCCCTGAGCAGCCAAAACAGAGATCACAAAGCCCAGCGATAAAGCCCCTGCATCTTGGCGCTTCACCCAAAGCCTGAGAGCCTCCCTCAGAGCCTATTTGCTCCTGGTTTTGAAACAATTCTGACAGCAGGTTTCTGAGTCCTCAGCTGCTTAGAAACAGGCCTTCTGACAGCAACTGGGACCGACTTCTCCAAAGGGAAGGAGGAAAGAAACACAGAGCAGAGACGTTCAGAGACCTCAAGAGTCTTGCACCTTGGACATTTAGTGAAATTTACATAGCCCTCGGGGCGCCTGGCTGGCTCATTCGAGACAGCATGCAACTCCTCAACTTGGGGTTGTGAGTTCGAGCCCCATGTTGGGTGTAGAGAGGACTTAAAAAAAAAAAAAAAAGACCTTACATAGCCCTATAGATTAGATCATTTCAGAAAGGTTTGCATCAACGTTCTTTAAAAACATGTCACCATCCCAAACATATCAGCTTCAGTTATCTGAAAACATCACTTAAAGGAGCCATTTGCTAAAAATGCCAGATAAGAGAGAGTGGTGTCAACCCTGCCCCGCAATCACCGATGACAGAGCCCAAGCAATGACAGGCTATATGACATCATGACGAGGAGGCTCCTTCCCAGGCTGGGGTAACATTACACACTGTGCTGCTCAAGACACCATCTGGGGGGTTTTGGTCCTCAGAGAACAGACTCAGTCAACAAGATTTACCCAGCGGGAGGGGAGAGGGGGCGGGCAGGGCAGGTTACCATGGGCCAGGGTCCGGCGGAGCTCCAGGAGGCTGCGGAAGGAGAGGGAGGCCACATGCGGCTTCCCCCAGCGCTCTGTCTCCTCCTCCACATCCTCCTCAAATTTGATCCAGCGTGCTGTTTCCCGCCACTGAGGCTCCTGGTTTTTGTCCAGCAGCAACTCATTCAGTTCCACAAATACCTTGGGATATAAGACGAGGGGCACAGCAAGGTCAGAGCCGGTGGGGCCCAGGGACTGCTCTCTAAGACAGCCAGCGTCAGGGTGGACCTGTGAGCCGGCACGGCCCGGGACACTGTACAGGGCACAGGCCTAGCAAGATCCTAACCAGTCTGATCCTCTCTTTGCCTCATCTGTAAAATGGGAATAATACCACCCACCTCAAAGGCCTGTTATGGGGAATCAAAAGAAAGCCTACAAAACACTTAGCACCGTCTATGACATAGTAAGTGCTTGACGAACGATCACCACACACATGCACGCACACTGGAATGTTGTATGCTTCCACGTATATGCATCCGAGAGCTGACAAAACTGGCTGAGCATGACAGAAGAGCCGTCACGGCTGATGGGACTGAGTAGAGGCACGAAGGAAGAGAGTGCGGAAAACGTTCTATGTCTAGGCAGTTAGCCAGCTGTTTACATGTGCAAAAAGTCACGGAGCCGCACACACAGCCCCAGTGCACTTCACTGGATGCTGTTAGACCTCAATAAAAAGGTAAAAAAATCCCACTCGAAGGGGTGGGGTTGAGGACCAGAACGCTGGAGTCCAAGATGGGCAGCGTCATTAAGGAACTGCGTGATCCTGGTCAGTCACTGTCCCTGATTTATGGCTGCTGCCACCTGGGCTATGTACTGCTCTACAGAGCCACCTCTGGCCCAAAGGGTCCTCGAGCTCCTCATGGCCAGCTGCCAGAAAATGGCCGTAGTATAGAAATCAACAGTGTCTAAGATGGGACTCAGAACCCTAACACCCCCATCAAAAATGTCAAGGACTCTTGGGCAGTGCACAACCTTCACAACCGCAGATGGCAGCCCTGGTGTTCGCGATTATTGCTGGTGTGTGTGTGTGGGGGGGTAGATGGGGGGAGCCTGTGGGGAGGAAATGGTTGGGGAGATAACGGAAGGGCAAGAAGTGGAGGACAGTACCTCGTGGGGCTTGTGGGGGGCCCGGGGTCGTGTCCGAGGCGTGGGGCCAGGCTCTCGCCCTTCCCGGCCACCCTGCCCAGACCCTTTGGCATTCTTCCGCACCAAGTGCCGCCGCACTCCAGGAACGTCCTCAAACCGGTGACCTACAGGAGGCAGGGGGACATGGTCAGGCTCCCGCTTTCTCTCCCTCCCGCTCCCACCAGCACTGGGCTTGGCCCGGCCAGCACTCACTTTTCATGAGGTCTAGGTCGGCGGTGGCCAGCGTCTGGGCCTCACTCTCGTCTGTGGGGACTCGGGGCAGCAGCGCCTGCTCAGCCCCCGTCATGCTCCCAATGCGCCTCCTCTCCTGCAGGTTGTAGCTTCGGTGCCCCGGCTGTGCCTTGGTCAGGGGACGCGCCGAAGCTCCCCCGTCATCACCTCCTGCCGCGCCGCTCGCCACAGCCACCACCTCCTCCACCGGGGCTCTGGACAGACAGAGCGACCGTGAGCCGGAGCCATGCGGGGGAAGGCGGGGAGGGGATCCCAACCGGCCCCCACCCTCCGCGCTGTCCCACTCTCGGTGGGCGCGGACGTGCAATGGTGAGCCTCCTACAAGCGGGACCTGGCCCTGCCCTTCACCGGCCGCGCTGCCGGAGCGGTCACACCAGCTCCCTCGGACCACCAGCTGCTCGGCAGCAAGGCAGAGCCGAGGCCAGCCTCCTGCGGGGTTGGGAGAGCCGAGGTCTGCATCAGCAGCCCGCGCAGGCCCTCCTTCCCCTCCTGCGCACACCCCTCGCTGTGGGCTCAAGACGGTCACAGGTCCCAAGTTTCTAACCAAATGGAGGAAAACAGGTAAAGACGGGCTTTTGAAAGTGTAGACGGCTCCCTTGCGGTCATGAGAATATGAACTCGTCCTTACAGGTGCCAACTTCTGCGCCGGGCCCCAAGCCAGGATGTCTCCTTCCTCTCGGCCACTGCGCCCAGCCCCTGCCACATCATGCTAACCTGCTCTCCCACAGCTCCAAGCCCGTGTCCCCCATCCACCACGAGAGGAGTCCCCCAACAAGCTTTCTTCCCCTACACCCACCCCCGGTGCTCTCCGTTCTCTTGCACCCCTGCCCACAGATCTGACCCACTTTTCCAATGTCGTGCACTCCCCGAGGCCTCCGCCTGCCCCTGGCCCCTGGCCCCTGGCCCGCCCGCCAGCGCAGGCCCCCGTGCCGGCGGCCGCCGTGGGCTCGGCGCCACCCGCCCCGCCTGTCTCCCCAGCGATTCCGGCAGCCCGCTCCCCCTTCCCTGCAGCCCTTCACGCTGCCTGGCACCCAGAAAACAACAGGTCCACGATAATGGTGACCTTGAGACCCAGTTCAAAGTGATTTCCTCCAAGAAGCCTTCTCCAGCTAACGCCCCCAAACTCCAATCCCCCACTGATACGGACATTGTGCCCAAATCTGCCCTTCAGCACAGTGACTTCTCTGATGCCATTTCCCAGGGTGGACTGGCAGCTCCCCAAGAATGAAAGGGAGTCTCCTAGTCTTCTCACACCTTTGGGACCCCAGGCGGGTACTCAGAGGTTACCAATCCAATCCCTGACCCAGCGCTTGATGCCGCGCCACCTGAGGTCACAGGAGGGGGAGAAGGTACGGGTGTTTAGACTGCACACCTGTCCTGTTTCAGAGTAACCCACACTTAAACCTTATTTCACAACACCCTTTAATCCCTACAACCACCCTGTGAGATAGGATCTATTATTCTTGGTTTGCACACGGGAAGGCTCAAAGAGGTTGTACTTGCCCAAAGGGGCAGGGCTGGGATTTGAACCCCAGCCTGAGGGTCCTGAGGCTCATGTTTTTCCCCACATCACACCACTGACACCAGCAGGGGAGGTCTCTATCTGGGGACACTCACCCAGTCTGGGCCCCTTTGCTGGCCCGGGGAGCCGCCTCCTGGTGGGGCAGCGGTGGGGGAGGAGACGGACTGGTCCTTTCTGCCTTCCGGTCAGCACCTTCGTCCTCCTGGAGAAAGAACTGGCACAGGAACCCACGGGAGCAAGTGAGGCCAGGCCAGGGACCCTGAAGAGACGCCCCCCCCCCCAGGAGCCCCGCCCCAACTCACTTGCACCGAAGAGGGTGTGGAGGCAGGGGATGGCTGGGTGAGTGCCCGGGCCCCCTCGGCCCCACTGGCCTCGTCCTCATCTTCCTCCCCCTCCTCAATGGTGGGGGTCTCCCCGGTGGGGGAGGCTCCAGGGCGCCGGCGAGGCTTCCGTCCCGGGCCCTGGGGTGTCTTGCGGCGCCGGGTGTCCGGAGGAAGGTGGGTGGACAGTGGGTGATGGATGTGGTGGGAGGACTGGCGGTGGTCTGCGGGGAGGAGGGCACCTGGCTGCAGGCGGGCGCAGCTTCCTTCCCCTGCCATCCCAGCCCTGGGTCCCTCCCACTAGACCCCAGGCCCCTTTCTTGCTGGACAGGCAAAGCCTAAGTGCCCCTGCCTCCTCCTCCCCGACGCCCCCTCACATTCAAAGTCTTCCTCCCCATAGCTGCGGCCTGGCTCCTCTCCTCCTCGGGACCCAGCCTCTTGTAGGATCTCCTCAAACCGCTCCACGCCCAGAGTGCGGTGAAGTTCATCTTCCTCCTGCTCAGGGAACCCGGGGGCTGCAGGGCCCAAGCTCTCCGGCTCTGGCTGTGAGGAGGAAGGGGTGCGGAGGACACACAGGGGCTCACCAAGAGTTGTACCCCGAAGCCCCACCCTGCGCAGTGCTGGAGCTCCAGGACCGCCCCAGGAGCCTTCCCCTCAAATGCCAGGGGCCCAGAGCCCCCCGCCCCCACTCCCTAAGCAGCCTTCCCCTAGGTTCCAGGACATCTGAACCCTGGCTGTGCTCATTCTGGTCAGTCCTAGGGCAGGTGGAAAATCTCAGGAGAAATCCTGCATCTCCAGCCCCGAGGTAAGGTGTGTGAACTGGCCAGTTCACATGGCTGATGGTGAACCAATTCCCTCTGGCCGGAGCACAACTCCCGGGCCTGAAAAGTAACTTCTGGAGGTGCCCAAGCCGACTGACCGAACTCTCTTGAGTCAAACTGAAACCTAGCCCCGGGATAGGAATGCAGCGCTTCACCTTGTCAGGAATGCCCCCCACCCCCAGCTGCACCCCACCGAGCCTGGGGCCCCTCAGCCCCCTCGGCCGCTCGCTAGCCCCGCCCCTCACCTCCCCCCCCACCTGAGTCATACTGCAGGAGAGGAGCAGCGGACTGCGGTGGCGGCGGCCGGTGGTGGTGGCGGCGGCGGCTGGTGGTGGCGGCAGCAGCGCTTTGGAGAGCTCAGCCTAGCTAAGCAGCCTGCTGCCTAGCCACAGTCTCTGTCCAGCCCCCACCACCCCTGCCAGTCTCAGCTCCAGGCACCGCCAAATATTTGCTCAAGAGCTTCTGGACCTCAAGGGCATCGGGATCTCCGAGGGCGGGGTATGGAGCCCCCTCCGTGGCGGTGCCAGTGGCCAGAGCAAGGAAGAGCGAGGGGAGGAGGGCTAAGGGGAAGGCGGGTCCTGGGGAGACACTGAGGTGGGGACAGGAGCGGCAGGGATACTGGACACAAGATACAGGAGTCAGGGGCTTGCCTCCCACCCCCCCTTGCTTCCTACCCCCCATCCCAGCAGCTCTAGCCTGCTTCCCCAAGCTCCGGCTCCACTCTCACCAGAATTAGCAGCGGGAGGAAGGTGGCGAGAGGCGGCTGAAGCGAGTGAGCACGGGGAGCTAGCCAGGGTGGGGGCAGGGGGGTTGAGAGCCCCTCGCACCTGAGGCCGCAGGAGGAAGTCCATGGCCGGCAGGGGTGAACTCGGGAAGGAGGGGGAGGGGACCAGCCTGTGCCCCTTCCCAGTCACGTGCCCTGCTGGGCCAGATGGCCAATAAGGGGCTGATTATGGCACTTGGGGTTAATCATTACACTCCCCAGGAAAATCAGGAGGGGGCCACGTGGGGCGGTGGCCACGTGGGGCCGCGCAGGGCGGGCCGGGGTGGCACGTGGGGCCAGGGGGCGTGTGTCACTGCAAGCAAACCCTGCCCAGAACCACTGTGTGAGGACGCTGCCGTGGCTGCCTCTAAGGCTGGGTCAGAAGGGGTCACCAGGTTAGAGACCCAAGGTCCCCAAAGTTCCTCTCTCTCTGTGGCTAAAGAACCACCCGGATCTTCAGGAAACAGCCTCCAACTCTCTCCACGGGACTGAAAGTGGCAAGACCACCCCATCAATACCCATCCCAGACCCCGGAGACCCGGACAAGGCCAGAGGAGGGATGGCAGCGGAGGGATGGCAGCGCCCCTCCCCAATCCATCAGAGGCTCCCCTTCCTCCTGAGCCTACACACACACACACACACACACACACACACACACTCTCGCTCGTGCGCGTGCGCGCGCTCTCTCTCTCTCTCTCTCTCTCTCTCTCTCTCTCTTTCCCCAGTTTGACAGTGGACCCTCCCCCAGAGCACCTGTGGTGTGGGAGGGGCGGTGGGGTGGCCAACCCAGCCGGCAATACTCACAGTACAGAAAGAATCTGCGCCCGAGGCGGGGCGCCGGGGGGCGCTGCTCATGGCCAAATCTTAGCCCTTTTCACTGTCACTGCGGCTTTCAGGGCAACAAGGCGGCGGCATAACCTGGGGGGTGGGGGGGAGGACGGATCACGTGAGAGCAGGCCGCCAGGCACACAAGTGCCCCGGCCCTGCTCAGCCCCCCAACGCACGCCCAGCCCGGGGGAGGCCAGGTCTCGGGAACATCCCGCCAGCGGGCACCGAGGGGTCTCCCTGCTGCTCAGGATCCTCTGGAATATGAAGGGCTTTAGGGTGCCCCATAGAGGCCAGAGAGCGACAGAAAAAGAGTTATTTACAGGAAGAAAAGAGAAAACAGAGAGAAGAGGATGGGGGGGCGCGCAGAGGGCCAAGTGAAGAGACCGAGAAGGCGGGAGAGGCTGCAGAAAGGGGGGCGGGGGGCAGGAGCCACGGCCCAGACCTACAGAGAAAGCAGCAGAAATCAGGGTGGGGAACGGAGGAGGGAAGGGAAGGGCAGGCTGAGCCAGAAACGGGGGCAGCGACCGAATGTGGCGCCCGAGGTGGGCTGAACGGGAGAGGGGTATCCTGGGGAGAGGGAGACAGCCCGCGGAGCAGAGAGGGGAGGAAGGGAGGGAGAGACTGGAGAGAGCCGCAAACAGCAAGCATGGGGGGGGGCAGAGACACCAGACCCAGGGCTGGGAGGAGACCCAGGACTGTGCCCCCTCCCCTGATGAGGGAGGCTCCCTGGGGGAGGGGCAGGAGCCCAACCCCACTCACTCAGTGGGAGGGAGGAAGGGAGCCGGCGGGCACAGGCAGGACAGACCTTTATAATGGGGGAGGGGCACGTGACGAACTGGGAGGAGGGTGGGCACAGAAACCCTGAGGTTCTGCCCTAAGGGGCAGTGCTGATCCCTCCCCTCCCCTAGCCTGAGGCCAGGAAAATCTGAGTGGCAGGGCTGACGCCCTCCTGACTGTGACTGTCGGGGTGTCTCAGGAGGGCACTGTGTGTGGTGGGGACGCAGAACAGTTGCGGTTAAGGAACTTGACGGCAAATCAGGGTACTCATTCCTAGTGGGGGAAGCGGATGTGGGGGGGGGCCTGCACTCAAGGTTCTCCAAAGTACTGAAGCTCCCCAGTGTGTTGTTGGGGGGTGTCAGGGTTGCCCGACTTAGGGCTAACTCGGGGATAAGACAGGTCAGTGTAGGGTCAAACGATATAGGTCTGGGGGGGTCAGTCCCGGGTGGGGAGCCTGGAGCAACAAATTCCTGGCAAGCACTCCAGCTCAGCTGACGCTCTCTTCACCTCCCCCTCGGAGGCCTTCAGCCAGGTCACATTTGGCGTGGGGGACAGGGGGACTGGGAGGAGGGACCCCGGTCTGAGAAGGGTGTGTGGTGCCTTGGAGCACCTGCAGGTGCCCCACTCCCACTTCCAGGCTGTGCCCTCTGTGTACTCCCCCACCCCCCCCACCCCCGCCCCGCCGTCCCAGAACACAAAGCAGCTTCTGTCCAGAGCATCGGTGCCGATAATCCGGGGTGGGGGCACATTCCGGGACCGGCCCCGACCGGCCCAGAGGATTAGCATCTCCCCCACCCCCGCCCAAGGGATTAGCACCCCGGACCCCCACTTGGGCATTAACCACCCCCCAAGTAAACTCGTACATTCCACAGCTCTTCGATGTGGGGCTGGTGGGGGTAGGGTGGGGGATGGAGAGAGGATAAAGTGGATTTCAGGCAGCGCCGCCCCTAACACCCAGCACCGGGCTTCCCAGACAAGCCAGCGCGCCGCACCCCCACACCCCCCCCCCCCCCCCCCGGCCAGGCCCGCCTCTCCGGACTCGTCTTTCCCATCCCCACCCAGTTACTCCCTCTTCTGCCTGAACCCCTTGTCCTGACCTGACCCGCCACCCCCTCCCTTCCCTGCTCCACCTCCCAACCCGGAGGTCCGGCGCAGCGGCCCGGGGCCACCCCCAGCCTAGGGACCCTGAACGGGCCTTAAGAATAGAGTAGGGGGTCGTAGGGGAGGGGTGTCGTCTGGAGCTCGCCCAGGAATTGGGAAGGCCGGCGGCGCCTCCCAGAGACTACCCCCTCCTGGTGGCAGGGGGCGCGGCACCCTCACTTCAGGTAACTCTAATAAGCGGACCCCGGATCCCGCTCCCTACTAGCAGTCCGCGCGCCTCCGCATCCTTCTCCCCAAGACCTCGCTTCCCCGCGCCCCAGTCCCCGCCCCTTCCTCCACTTCCACTCCCTCCCTGCTCCGAGTCCCGAGTTCCCCCCTTTCCTTCCCCCTCCCTTCCTCCCTCCGCGGCCCTGGCCCTCCTCCGCCGCCACCTCTCCGCTTACCCGCTTGCTCTGGACTTCGTGCCCCGGAGGTCTCGGGATCTCTCCCCCTTCTCCGGCGCCCTCGCGCGCTCCCAACGACTCCCTAGTGCCCACCTCGGGGCGCACCCCCGCCGCTCCCAACTTCTCCCAACTCAACTTTCCCCCGCGCCGCGGGCAGGCCAGCCCCCTACGTGCGCGCCCCCCGGCGCACCGTGCGCGGCCCCGCCGCGGCGGGTGGGGAGGCGGGGAGCGGGGCCTGAGACCCGGGAACGGAGGCGCGCTTCCAGGCACCGCCCGGCACCGGGAGCCCCGCGCCCCAGCGGCCACACCTCTGTCCGGCTCAGTCCCGTGAGGCAGCCGCCCGGGCTTCCCCGCATGGGACTTGGGCACCCCGGGGACGCCGTCTCTTGGCCGCATTAGGTACCTCTGGCGGAAAGGAGCCCGCCTCACGCTGGGGATCCCAGACAGGAAAACGGAGACACAAAGATGATCAGGAAATTCGGGGCGGAGGAACTTGAAACACAAATGCATCGGGGTCAAGATCTCCCCCTACCCCCAATCCCCAGTAATCCCCAGTGCCTCCAAGATTAGGCCCTGTCTTTGCTTGGGATGCGGGAGGGCGGTGGCGTTAGGGGAGATGGCTCCTGGAGGTTGGATTTCCATTACCCTGAGCTGACCTAGACTTTCCGAAACCGGGAACTTCTGCCTCAGTGATTCCCTGCGGCGACCTCCTTCCTCGAACCCTATTATAATCAACATCTGCCACTAAAGATTTCTGTATTTCTGGGTTTTCTCAACTAAATTATAAATTCCAGATAAAGAGTATACTTTTTTCCTTTTTTTAATATGCCAGTACGTGAAATACAGCATTGTGTATGCAGAGAACGTTCTGATGATAAACAAGTTAATTAACAAATGTTTATCACCAACTATGGTTCTGGTGCCTCGGAGTGCTGTTTGGGGCCGTTTTTGTCCAGTTCACAGCCCTCAAGAATGCAATCATGAGACAATTAGAGAGGAGCGCAAGAAAATCTATAATCAACTCCTTAAGGGATGAGGTCAAGGCTGCTCCAAGTGTAGCATCTGTCTGTGCTTCTGTCTGTTGAGGGCGGTAGCCAACCTGCCAGCCCTCGGCCACACCCTGGCTGACTCCGGTGGGCCCGGGTTCTCCAGACTGGTGTGGAGGGACTGACTCCCAGTGTTCCAGCCAGTTTGCCTCGGGACGTCACAGTGTTGCGAGCAGCTGGAGTCGGGTGGGCTCCGAGACGACAAACGGGGCTCAGAGGGCAGACGTTAAATCCAGAGGCACACCTGCCTCTCTTCCTAGCCCTGTGGTTCAGCTGGTCCCTGTGAAGTCGTCACCAAGGCATGGCTCGGAGCCATTTCTCAATCAATCCTGAGGTCTCCAGATGGCCTGGGGAGAGGTAGGAATCCGTACTGCGGTTGTCAGGAGGTCGTTGGAACCTCAACACCATCAGCCGGGTCAGAGCGCACCCATCCCGGCCCGGGATGCAGGCCGCCAAACCCCAAACCCCAGAGAGCGCCCACCCCCACCCTACTGCGTTCTGGAACGTTTAGTCCCAGAGAGGCCCTTTTCAAAAAGAAGGTTGTGATTACAGAAAGGAAGAACCAGAGCAGGGCACCCTGGGAGCCTGGCGTTACGGCGCCGAGGCCCGGAAAGCGGACACGCGATGCTTCCTGGGACTTGAAGTCCAA